GTGGTGCTTTGATGTTTACCTAACATTGCAGGTCTAGGGCCAGTGGTCTGATCAGGGGTTCAGAGGATAGCGATATGCAGTGTGACATCTAGGGGGGAATCTCCTTCTGAGGGTTGCAGCCATTGTTAATTTCCTATGGTCTTGTTTTGAAGTACTATATTGTTTCCATTGTTTTGTTGAGCTGAGTTTTATTCTCTTGTGCTTTGTTTTGATTATGTCAAATCTGATGGCAGGAGCAGCTGTTTCAAAGATAACAACATATATTATAGTAGCCATTTTGGGTTTATTATTGGCTTGTTTTGAAGTTCTTCCCTGCATTCATTGTCTTGTTTTTATTCTTTCTATTCTATTCCATTGTTTGATTTTTTACTATGTCTAAGGTTATCTGCAGCTATTTTGAAGACATCAAAATGTACTATGGTAACTATTGTTGATTTTGTAATGTTTTTAGGCCTCTCTCTTACACTGGTTTGTTTTGATTAGTTTTATTCTGTCTTATCCTCTTTAAAATAAAAAAAAAGAAAAATCACACTAAGTAAAGTTCAAAGCATCTATTCATTAGGTGCATGAATAGCCCAATCATGTGCTGCTAAAGATGGGTCTGTCTACATATGTGACGTAAAAGGGATGGGGGATCAGTGTGGAGCTGCAGGTGCAGCGGCAGCGTCACTGGAGATGAGCAGAGATAGAAGTTTAAGCTTCCTTTCTTCCATGTGTGCACCCGGCACCTACTAACCAGTCACCTCCTGACTCCTGAGAAGCCAAGAGGAGCACCCACTCTAGCAGGTGATCCCTAGGCTTTGTGCGTTCAATTTTTTGCCCATTGGCCTGCTCAGTAAGATTTAAGTTTATTTATAGCCCAAAACTTGTAACCTGAGGCATCTGCAAGTCCAAAGGTGGGGAAACGTTTGAGTGGTCCAGTGCACCCTTAACCCCAGCTGTGGTCAAGTGAGGCAGCACACTGCCTCTCTCTCTCAGCTCCTTCCAGTGTCCTTTCCACAGTGTGGAAAGAGTCAGTGGTGCAGGTTTCGCATTTTTGTGCTTTGCTCTGGTGATTTCACTGTGTAAAGTGGCCCCCGATCAGTGCTGAATTCTGTTCAGTGCTCTGACTGTCGGGAGACTGCCATGGCTCTGTGTCAGATACGCTTCTCTTAGGCATGGCTAACAGCACTGCTGGCTGTGAGTTCATGTTAATGAACCAGTAATCTGTACATTTGGATAAAGGAGGACAAATGTGCTGAGCCACGTTAAAATCTGATCCAGAAAACGCTGAAGTAATGCTTACTGTGTCTGATGAAGCTATGGAAAAAGTAGAAAAGGATGTTTAACTTATGGATTCATGAGATGACAACTGATTAAAAAATTAACAAAAACCCTCATGGTGAGAATGTCTGAGAGCTTAAAATACACATTATTTAAAGTCAAGAAAAATGTTAAACCCTTATCAGCTAATATTTTATTATAAGAAAATACTGCATATAATTAATGTGTAAGGGAATATATAAGGGTTGAGCAAAATACATGATGGATATTTAAATTTTAAAAAAATCATTACATTAAAAATACACTGCCATTAATCTTCAAAATACTTCCCCTTGAAGTACAATGTGGTGACATATGCCTATTATTCCAACATTTTGGAGCTGAAGCAGCAGAGCCACTGCAAATCTGAGAACATTCTGAACTCCCCTGTCTCAAAAAAAAAAAAAAAAAAAAAAAAAACCACCTTGCTTTGAACACACTATCCAATCATCCTTGGTATTTTCTGAAGTAGTTCTGGAAATCCTCTTTCACGAGTGTCTTTTCTAGGTGCTATAAAAAGTACAGTGAGTAGTACTGCTAAGTGCCATCCAACGGAAAGACGATCTTACAAAAAAATTACAGTGTGTCTCCATCTACCCTGTTCACCAGATCTGACACCATGTGACCGACTCTTCCCCAAAGTCCCAGTGACCATGAAAAGTAAATGTTTTGAATGGGTTCAGGACATCAATGCAGCCACAGCAATGCAAAAAAGATGCTCAAGAAAGAAGATTTCAGAGCAGCCTCGGAAAGTGGCAGGAACAATGGCATAAATGTGCTCCAAGAGAGGGGAATATTTTGAGGGGAATTAGAAGCGATGCGTCCTTGGCTATTATAAATTTTTTAAAGGATCTAAATATCCACTGTATTTTTTAATCAAACCTAGAATTAAATGTGATGTCTTCAAAGAGAAATACACGTAAAACAAGGTTATGCTTGATCTCTGATGAAAACATTGAGACTACAGTCTCAGAGGAGCCCCGCCCTGTGTTTTCAGTGGGAAATGGCTCACTATTCCCTAGTTCAGTGCCATGGTGACATTATAGAATATAGCTACCAATAACAAGATTCATCTGCATGTAGAGTATGGGACAAAGTGAGAAATTCACTGATTAGAATATGGAATCTTGAGGGCTGGGGATTTAGCTCAGCAGCATAAGCGTCTGCCTTGCAAGCAGGCAGTCGTGAGTTCAATCCCTGGTACCGATAAAAAGGAAAAAGACAAAAAAAAAAAAAAAAAGAATATGGAATCTTCTAGAAAAAGAAAAGGCGGGAGGAACAGAGAGAGGGCATTGAATTATGGATACACTGAAAGTCAGAATAGAAAGTCTAACAATGGGAGTGTATTAGTCTATTTTTGGTTACTATGATAACTACCTCAATGGGCTAACTTTATAAAGAAAAGAGGTTTCTTTTGATCACAGCTCTCGAAGTTTAAGGGAACAGTGCCAGGGTCAGCTCAGCTTTGGTGAGAACCAACAACTCATGGCAGGAGTACAGGTGAGAGAAACAACATTGCCAAACAGGAAGTCAGAAAGCAATTCAGGGGTCCAGCTCCCTCGTCAAAACTCCCTTTCACAAGAGTGTGGGATTCCATGAGAACCATCTTAATCGTCTGAGGGCTGAGAACCCCCAACCAGCCTTTCACCTCCTGAAGTCTTGTGGCCTTTCAAGACCATCCCATGAGGGACGTGTCGCACAAAGCACATGAACTCTGGGGAGACACTCACATGGTGCCCAAACCACAGTAGCTGCTGATGATTTCTGAGTAAGGGAATTCTGTAGTCAAAGAGCAGAACCGAGGAAGAATCCTCTGGCAGATAGCACACTGCTGGGATTACAGAGAACAACAGAAAATCTTATAAAAACAACCAGTCAGAAATAAGGGAACTTGGACTGGGGATCGTGCTAGAAATATAAGGACAGGAGAAAAAATGACTAAAGAGAGACAGGGATGCCAGCGCTTGACGGATGGCGAAGTTTTAAGAATAGGTCAGCACAGGGTTGGAGCCTGGTAACTTAGGGGTAAATATAGTGTTTCTGAATTACTCGGTAAGAATATAGGGCCGTGATTCTGGAGGGGAAGCGTGTGACAGGGCAGCCCTAGTACACCTTCCCTGCAGCCTCCGAGTGAGATAGTTTTTGTTCAGCTCAGAGGCCCACGTATCCACCTGCTGCTGATTGTTCTGTTGCCATTATTTGCTTATTAGTTTTTATTTATTCATAACCTCAGAATTCAGTTTTCACCTGGTGGGACTTCAGCTGACTGGGTTTTGCCCCGTCTTGATTGCACTTGTTATAAATTTTCCGTCTTCCCTGAAGGTGGCTGGCCCTCCCAGGTGTATTCCGTGTGACATTTAGATAAGCTGTTCTTCTGAGAAAACCTCAGGCCGCCTCGAGGCAGGAAGATTGGAAAATAGGGAAGGAGTTAGGATGGGAGTTAGGATGGAAGGGAGGCAAAATGCATTTCTCTCTCTTAGGTCCCGATGACTCATTCCCTGGTGACCAAACCGTCCTTGGGGGCTCACTAAGAATCCACTAAAACCATGCGTTGCCACCTAAAACAGGGCAAAGCAACTTCTCAACGGGTTTATTTCTGGTGTTTGTGGAAAACCTGCTTTTTAAAAGTCTCCTTGCCCTGTCTTAAGGTCCTAGTAACCTGCAGCCTGGACTAGCTACGTCCTCTTGCTCAGAAATGACTAAATGTTTCCAGACGGAATCAGCAGAGCCCTGAAACGAGCAAGTGTAGCCCTTTCCGTGTGTAGGGCCCCTGTGTGACTGCCCCATGAACTCAGCTCTGCCTGAGGCTGAGTGCAGCACTGCACAAGATGGGTGCTCGCACCACAGCCCTCTCCACACTGCCTGTGGTGTGGAGCCCTCTCCACACAGCCTGCATCCCACCGCTGCCCCTCGTCTGGGTCAATCGAGGTGTTCCCAGGTCTGCTCACACAGCTCACCCGCAGACTTCTCTCCAGAGAAGGGGTCTCCTGTCTCTCTGCTGGATTCACTCTCACCGCTCTTCAGTGCATCCTTTTAGCCTTCAGTGAAATAGATGTTGACCTTCCAGCTGATATTTCTGCAGTCTTGCCCAGCCATGAGAGCCACAGAATGTGAAAGGTAGAGTGGTTTTTCTGGCACACTCTTCAGGAGGTGCTGAACAGCTAAGACTCTAGAGAGCAGAGTCTGGGACAGCCTTAGGGACACTGGGTGCTCCATAGGTGGGATCCTTATTTTTGCAGAAACCCACTTGACGACAGCCCCGTTCATTAGAATATGGATGTCATGGTATGTGTTTATCTCTATAAGGAAGTTGCATTCCAAGGAAGTTAAATGACTTCTCCAGATCACACAGGAAGGAGCTGATACCATCAAAAGTGGAACACCAGCTTCTAAGGCCTGAAACAGCCTGCCCTTCTCTACTCGTGTGGAGGGTCTCAGTCTTCCTGTTTTTCCTTCTGGGACATTTTATGAACCACAGCTCAAGGCTTTTAAACAGCATATATATATATATATATATAGATAGATAGATAGATAGATAGACAGACAGACAGACAGACAGATAGATAGATAGATATAGATATAGATATATGTATATATATATATATATATATATATATATTAAAGCAACCATGATTTCTGCCTTCCTCCAATGGTAATAATTTACCAGCTAATTTTTATTTCTTGTTCTGACTCCTCAGAGACAACCCTGCTACTCAGTTTAACCTCAAAACTCACATGAATTCTCCAGATCTGAAGGCAGCCATAGAGAAAATTACCCTGAAAGGAGGACTTTCTAATGCAGGTACGTGACCCAGATAATTCTACCTCCTTTTCACCATTCTCTTCCTATGTGGTTGCCTTGTAACATTTTATACAGAAAGAAAAAAGTAATAATTCATCAAGAAATGACTTACATAACATCTAGATCTTTTCCAGATTGGATTCAGGTGACAAGAATCATTAAGCCACATACACCGCAGAGCTCAATCCTGCTTGGTTCCTCAGGGTCATAATGTTCTTCAGGTCAAGAAGGACTTTTGTTGTGACTATTTCCTGGTTGGCCTGTAAATCATCAATCATTTAATGCTAATTTCTATGACCATTTCCATTCAGGAGGCTCCTCAGTGCCTCTTGGGATCTTGCTCCTATCAGCTACTGTTGTAATGATGATCATGCAATGAAAAGCATACTCTCTGTTTCAAGAAGAGTTTCCTGTGATACGTGAGTCTTCCCACAGGTTGGGCATTGTTACTAGGTCCCAGGTCTAGTCCTCAGTGGAGCACATCCATTGTGTCACTTCACTCAGACGTGACTGGACTTTAGGAAAGGTTTACACTAACTATGTTTGAAGACTGTCAAAGAACCCACGCTATGAGGGGAAAGGAGGACGGAAAATAAAGGTTTATAGCCAGACATGGTAGTGTGTGTCTCACTGATTTTCTTCACTGACCCTAGGAGGATCTGAGTTGCTGCAGCTTTAACCAGAAAATTTCCACATTCACTAATTGTGGCCCATAAATATGCTTTTAGTGCTGCTTTGCTTATTTGCAAAGGAAAAAAATCTACAATATGTATTATATGTAATTCTTTTCTTTAGGCTTTCATTTCAAAAGGAATATTGTTTATCATGAGCTATAAAGCAAAGATCAATATCTGATAGTCTCCCAAATAATAAAATTTCAGAATTCATTGGGAAAAAACCCCAAAGATATATTATTAATTTATAAATAGTAACCTGGCTTTGGGGGCAATCAGGGGGGTGGCTGAATATCAGTTCCTCAGGAATCTGTTTCTACCCTCAGTGTCCAAAGGAGTGGAGATAAAAGCCACAGTTGTTTGACATGGAGCACATGCAGGAAGTAGAGTCTTTCCAGGAGCATCCTTGGCGTTACAGCCAATCTGATTAGTTAGTCCCCCCCTCCCCCGCAACATCTCTACAACACTAATAACTGGTAAATGCAGAGCCTTATACCTTTGAAAAGTGATAAGTAAACACTAGACAGAGTACTCCTCTCTGTGCTCCCAAATCCATGTTGCCTTCATTGCAAACATGATAGAGGTGATTTCTGACTCATTTTCTACTTAATGTTTACATTAGCAAAAGTCCAATGAGGAAAGCCTTCAGAAGGCACTCAGCTTCTCTGATGAAGCATCTTAATCCAAGCAGCATATTTTTCCAGTGGATGGCATGTTCTAACTCTGCCTCTGGATTGCTCAAGGTTTGGATTCAAAGAATAGAATTTATCCATCTGATTCAAGCACAGAGCATTTATTTTAGGAATCATGGAAAGAGCTGAAGAAGCAGACTATAGGCTGAGCTTTCAGAGATAAGGTCTGAAGGCTTCTTGTAGAATAGACCCTGTATGGGAGTTGCTATTTCTTCAAGATCAAGAAAGTATTTTCTGAATTTTGCTACTGTGCCCACTACTGAAACCTGCTTCAGCTTCTGTCTTAGTTACTTTTCTCTTGTTGATGAGACAAAACACCCAACACCCAAAATTAAAGAAGGAAGGGTTTATTTAACTCACACTTTATAGAGGTCTTAGTCCATCATCAGCTGGATCCAAGCAGGCTGGCATGGCAGAGGGGTAACAGTAATTATAGCAGAAGACAGCAAAGGCAACAAGAACAAAATAGGAGAGAGAAAGCCTCTTTTCCTCCCTTATATTGTATGCAGGATATTCACCCTAGGCTGGGTGTATCACTCACACCATCTTGGTGCCCTCCTCTTGTACAGGCTGAGGATGTTTGCAAAGTGAGGATCCTAGCCCCGTTCCTAGGTACTTGGCTAAACTTCTAAACTTCTCAAATTGACACAATGACTCAACTACCACAACATTCTAGGGCATAAACAGCTGCTTAGGGCATGTCCTCTATACCCTAGGATATAGAGCTGCTGAGTTACTTAGTTAAGCTTCTAAACTTCTCAAGTTGACCCAAAATATCAACCATTATAGCCAGTGTCTTATATATTTTCTTGTTGCTGGTACAAAACACCTGGTACCTACAAGTTAAAGCTCATAGTTTATAGAGGTTTCAATCCATTGTCAGCTGGCCTCAAGGCAGGGGGTTTGGCAAAAGGGCATGGCAGAGGAAAACAAGTTCATGGTGGCAGTAAGCAGGCAGCAAGCAGGAAGCCTTCCTTTTCTTTTTTGTTCCATTCAGGCTACATGCCCATTGGTTGGTGCCACCTACACCCTGGATGGGTAGTCCCATTATCCGCACTTAGTACTGTGCTAAGTGAATCAGTGGACTAATTCAGTTATCATACCCACAATCATGTATCACACACCCAAAAGCCTTGCATGAGTGCATGAGGCTTTGAGGGGACATCTAGATACAAGTCATAACAGCCAGGAAGCCATCATGATCATGGAGTTGTTTCTACAGCGGCCAGCTCAAGAACCCTGTCTCATTCACAGCCACAAAAGGAACACGGCACATCCTGCTACCTGAGGACCATCAGAACTATCAGCCAACCACAAAAACCTGTTAACAATGTCCCAGAGAAATGAAATACTCTACAGATTCCTGCCAGTAGAACTAGAACAAGAAGTACAGCCTCCACCTCATTTTTGTCTTCTAAATGTCATACAAAGGCATAGATTCGTGAAACCAAAACAGAGCTAGAAATCTAGATGCGAGAGACCATGGATAATGCAATTTTCAAATTTCCAGCCTCTGGTTTTAGGCCCACTGCAAGGTGGATGGAGTGTTGACCACTGAGTCATTGTAGCCTTCAGATTTAAGATTTGATGTGGTGAAAGGGAATATATGGTTCCTCGTGCTTTGCCTACAGGCACCTAATATTAAGACAGAGAGAAATGCTAGGTATTTGGGACCTTGAAGGAAACGATCCCTTGGTCCTGAAAACACATCTTAGTTTCCATGTTTTCCCTTAGCAATCAGGTTCTGTGCAGTCACTTTACATGGATTCATCAAGACTTTTGTCTAGAAACTTCCTCTGTAACCATTTGATGCTTCCATTTGAAAGACACGATTATACCAGTCAGCACAGCCAGAACGCTGATCAAGTCTTGAAAAGCACTGGTTGTAAGGATATAAAATTCAAAGAATGTAGCTCTTAAGTCATTGGAGAGTCTGGAAAACTATGGCTTATCTATCCAAATGGATACTCATGTATACAAAATATTGGGTATAATTTCAGGGCATGTGTAGACACATTGATAATGTGCTAAATAAATGCTGCTAAGGTGAACACCCAAAATAGTTGAAGTAGTTTAAAATAACCCAACAAAAAGTGAAGAAGGAATGTGTGCATTTTTCTGAACCATTTTGTGCTGCTGTGATCTGTGTCTATAATTCCAATTAGCACTCTGTGCTCAAGTTTTTGTTTTTGTTTTTTTTTTTTTTTCAGGCCGGGCCATCTCTTTTGTCACCAAGAACTTCTTCTCCAAAGCCAATGGAAACAGACGTGGTGTTCCCAATGTGGCTGTAGTAGTACTGGATGGCTGGCCCACAGACAAAGTGGAGGAGACCTCAAAACTTGCAAGAGAGTCAGGAATCAACATTTTCTTCATCACCATTGAAGCTGCTGTTGAAAGTGAGAAGCAGTATGTGGTGGAGCCCAGCTTTGCCAACAAGGTATACAACTGCCCAGAGACTCACCCACCATAAGGACCCCCTGAAACCTGAAAAGTTAAGTGCCATCGGGACTTTTTTCTCAGTCCATTAAGTGGGTGGGAAGCTCACTTCCAAGTAGCAGGACCTCCAGTAAAGGATGAGTGAGTCTAGAACCTGGGTCACCTTCTCAAAGCAAAATCCCACGCTGACCCTGAGATCAGCAGTTAGAAGCAGAAGGTAGGGACAGAGTCCCCAGCACCTCACGTGGGAGCTCTCTCCTTTGTTCCTCCTACAACACCAGGGCAGCCTAACCTAGGGTGGCTTCACACCAGCCCAAAGCACACACAGGTATGTATGCACACTGTCTTACACAAATGCAAACACACATGCACTCTCACACAAACAGAAACTAATTAATTTATCTGCTAAAGACAAGGGAGCTGTTGAACAGGTCAGGGCGATCGTGTTTCCAGGGAAACTCCTGGATTCTGTGGAGATGCCCACAAGATGAAACAAGAACCATGGGGAATGAGGCTTCCTGCTCCCTTTCCACCAAAGCCACTTTGGAATTTTGTACAATTGGGCTTCATGTGAGTCTACTTCTGAAAAAAAAAAAGCTCCATCTTAGAAAGAAAAAGACAGACAGACAGACAGACAGACAGAAAGAAAGAGAAAGAAAGAAAGAAAGAAAGAAAGAAAGAAAGAAAGAAAGAAAGAAAGAAAGAAAGACAGTCTTGGACAGCTGCATCTCTGAAGGCCCTTCAGCTCTAATAGCCTGTGTTCAGCGATACTAGGACACCTATTGAATTGTCAGCCACTTCTTGCTCCTTCAAATCTCTTCACCCTTGACTTCCAAGACACTTGTGGCTCTCCTTCTTTTTTCAACTCGTACCCTAAGACAGACTTCCACAGGACTCAGTCCCTGGTTCCCCCTCTTCTTTCAGGAAGCTTGTGTCCTCCAGGATCCCCTCAGGCCACATCCACTCCCCCATCACATCTCTTGTCTGTCTGCTCTTTCCCATGCCTGGTGCCAGCTCCCTTGTTCAAGCCAATAATTTACATCTATCTCCCTCTTGACTCTCCCTGGCTCAGTTTAGATTTCTCAATGAAACAACTCGTGTTTATGAAGCATTCCTTCAGTCCTACAGGGTCCTTGCTCCAAATCCTTTGCTTGTCCTTTTTTGTTTTTGAGGCCTTCTGCAGTGTGGTTCCAGCTCACCTTGCCGGCCTTGCACAGGTCCTGTGCTGCAATCAACTGGCCTCCTGTTCATGGCCAGCACCTCCACTCTCTCCTGCCATGGCCCAAACTCAACTTGGTCTCAGCACTCTCATCTACCTAGTTCATGGAAAGTTTTGTGAACTCCATTAGGGTTTTCTGCAAATTAGCAACAATAAAAATATTTCCTAGGAAAGTTCAAAACAAATTTTTTTTTAAATTCCACAAGTTCATCTGTAGCCTTCAGGTCTGGTGCCCTTTGTGACCGCCAAGGCAGGAGCAGAGAAAACAATGCCCTCCTTAGAAACATTAGCCAAGTGTCTTCCAGGATCATACCAACCTGTCTGTTCAGTGCTTATTTGAAGCTAATTGAAATCTGGAACAAATTGAAGCACAAGTAAATAAACATTCATTTTCCTGAAAGCAGAGCTATCCGAGGGGTAGAGCTTGAGTCCCGAAGGCAGAAAGACTGGTGTTCCAGTTCCAGGGGCCCTTCAGTTTTGTTCTCTCATGGCAGGGGCTTATCATTCCGTGTTGCAGGGTCAGAGTGGGGATTTAAAGAAGGAACCAGGCCCGATACATAGGGCCACTCAGCATCTGTGGGGTTCCTTTCCTGCTGGGAGCAGGGCTGACCTGGAAATATTCCTTTAGTCACTCCCTGTGTGTCTCTTCTGTTTTCCCAAACAGAACAAAAGCTTTGTTTAGTCCTCTGATGCACTGGTGCCCACCCAAGCCACTCCTATGGCTGGCTGCCTGGAAAAATGAATTCAGGATCCTGGAGAGGCACAAATAGGAAGCTAAAGTCAATGGTTCTCATCTCCCTAGGAGACCCTAAGCAAAGACCGAGCTGAAGGGGTTCAGAGATTGCTAGAGGGGCACAAGATACAAGAGCCTGCTGTGTTCCCTGGCTGGTGGCTGGCCACAGGTAACCCCTGGTGGGCTAGATTGGAGGATTTGACCCCTGACCTGGCGAATGTCTCTCCTGTCTGTCTTCCAGGCTGTGTGCAGAACAAATGGTTACTACTCATTCAATGTGCAGAGCTGGTTCGCCCTCCGCAAGACTGTGCAACCCCTGGTGAAGCGAATCTGCGACACAGATCGCCTGGCCTGTAGCAAAACCTGCCTCAACTCAGCCGACATCGGCTTCGTTATCGATGGTTCCAGTAGTGTGGGGACAAGCAATTTCCGCACAGTTCTGCAGTTTGTGGCCAACCTCAGCAAGGAGTTTGAGATCTCAGACACAGATACACGCATCGGGGCAGTGCAGTATACCTATGAGCAGCGGCTGGAGTTTGGCTTTGACAAGTACCACACCAAGGCTGACATCCTCAATGCCATCAAGAATGTGGGGTACTGGAGTGGTGGTACCAGCACGGGAGCTGCCATCCACTATACCCTAGAGCAGCTCTTCAAGAAGTCCAAGCCCAACAAGCGGAAGCTAATGATCCTTATCACGGATGGCAGGTCCTATGATGATGTACGGATAGCAGCCATGGCTGCCCATCAGAAGGGTAAGCTGGACCAGTTTGTCTATGGCTTAAGAAACTGTTGAAAATTATAGGGAGACTATTGGAAGAGTGAACACTGTGGCCCTCAGGAGGTATTCAGTGGGGAGGAAGAGACAACAGTCAAGGGGTCCCCTAAATTCTCTCTGAAATTCAAGGTTGTGGGTTACTTGGAACAGTGATCTTTTCCTCTATACCCTGCATCCTGAAGCTCTTCCCAGGAGGACTGATACATTAGGAAAGGGAGTTTGGTTCATTAATCTTAGTGAAACATAGCATGTCTCTAGCTCAGCTGAAGGCACCAAATTGTGTTGGTGACATTTACTTTCTTTAAAAATAATAATATTTTTGTGACAAGCTGCTACCCACTTTTGGGAGTCTGGGTGTGTGTGGGGGGGTGACCTCAAAGAAATTTTGATTCCAGATAATTAGAGTGATACTTCCATACAGAAATGTCTAAGTCAATAGAAAGTTTAAAAGCATGAAAAATGAGCAATGTATTTTTATAAAAGCATGCAAAGCGCTTTTGAAAAATCTGTCACATTTATGTCTTTATTGTGTAAAATAATCACTGATCTGAAAGTGCCATAAAATATCACAAAAACATAACAACCTTAAGGAAATCCCCAAGTGATGATAGTGATATTAGTAATAACAATAATTGTAAACTGAGTGGTCAGTGAACACCAGAGACTTTTAGATAAGTGTTAGTACATAAGGACTCACTGCTATTGTTATTTGTCTTCTTTTAGTTTAATTTGGGTCATTTGCAGGATTTCTGTATTTTTGAGGACTTCTTTGAAACCTGCCAAAGTCCCAGAGTGAGTGGATGGCATGGATATGCCAGCTCCCAGCCACAAGCCTCGGGCCCTCTGCTGTCTCTGGCACATCTGTCCCATGCTTGGGTTCACTCAGCTTTGTTTATTCTATTGAATCTACTGTACCTTCTTGAGATCTCACTTGGAAGGTACCCTTGGCTTACTCGTGAGAAGACAAGAAGAAAGGAGGACATGAGAAGTATCAGGGTCTCCTATTCTGGGCAGTTTTTAAGAACTAAGACCAATGGCAAATGCCTACTACTATAATTCATCTAAAAATGCAGTGAATATTGTGTCCCCAGAAGTATCAAGTCCAGACTGTGGACACCTGTCAGAACTTCCAGGAGAAAGTTCTCTACTACAAGGGTGGTCTCAGAGATCCAAGATGCTGAATTTCTAATCCTGTTGTGTAGTCTGTTAGGGGGCAGTTTTTCCATCTTTGAGCAGAAAAGGGCCTCATCAGTCCAAACCTACCTCTGCAGCAAAGCTGCTCCCATTGCGCCTTGACAGCATTCTAAAGCTCAGAATGGTGCACACCCCACAACCAAGCTAGGCAGTATTCAGAGGGGAAAAGTGGAGAGATGAGAAAAGCAAATAGCTTCCGTGCAGCTTAATGGACAAGTCAAGTACCTGATATATTCCATTCTATTATTTCCCTTTCACCTTTACATGTGCTCAAGGCCCTGCCTTACCCCAAATAAATATTCTCTTTTTCCCCATGTTCTGCTCCAGTTACCACTTGCCTCCCTAGTCTGTGGCCAAACTTCTGGAAAGGATTAGGGCCATGTGCTGCAATGTTGTCCCTTCTTTTTCACTCGCGATTCGCAGCAATTCATTTGGTTTCTTTGGCATCTCCACCCCTGAAACTGCCCTCCCTAACCTACCAGTGACTTGGTTCTGGTTTCTCAGTCCAGTGATCACAGTTTATCTGATTTCCCTGCAGCATGGAAGATTGTTGGCCATCTTCTTTCTTATCTCAAAACCCTCTCTCCACTGTGGTGATGGAGTAGATGCTGGGAATCTGGGGACACAATTGCTGCACTTGGAATGAGATTGAAAGACAGATTCTAAAGCAACCCACAAGCCTAAAGTGATTAAATTCAATTAAAATAGTAATCTCAATCAGGTCTCAGATGAGCGAGCCTCTAATCCCATCTACTCAGGAGGCTGAGGCAGGAAGATCACAAATTTGATCCCAGCCTGGGCAAGTTAGTGAACACCTATCTCAAAAAAAGTAAAAATCCAGTCATCTATTGTAGCTGAGATGATTTTTTTTTTTGTCTTTTTCATTTTTATCAGTACCGGGGATCGAACTCATGATCGCCTGCTTGCAAGGCAGGTACTTATGCTGCTGAGCTAAATCCCCAGCCCCAGTAGCTGAGATGATCGTGAACTGGCTTTTGATGACTCAAAGGCTCTCTGAGGTTTTGCTTGGCTCTCCACACAGAAGCAGGCATGCACCGTATGGTGTACGGTGCATGGCAGCAAATGTTTCAAAGTATCTTTCCTTCTTCTCTTCCATGCATGCAATCCTTACTATGCATTGACTCCATTTTTTGGTGTCCTTTTTCTCTCCAGAAGACTATAAGCTCCTGATTGAACAAATATCTCTACTGCATTCTCCTGACCGAGAGTGGATGCTGAAAAGTATTTGTTGAATAAGCAGAAAAATAAATGGCCGTGCTTAGTCTTAATTCTTGAACACAGAGGTCATGTTGTTTTGCTTTGTCAAGCACATTTCTGATTGTGGGTCTCCTAGTATTGACAGAGCACAGAGAAATAAGAGCAAGATTCATCAGCAGCTTTGTTCATGGGCTCATTTGCTTCCTCTCATCTCTGTCCCCACAGGCGTGATCACCTATGCGATAGGCATCGCATGGGCTGCCCAGGATGAACTGGACATCATTGCCACTCACCCGGCCAGGGACCATTCCTTCTTTGTGGATGAGTTTGACAACCTCTACAAATCCGTCCCCAAGATCATCCAGAACATCTGTACAGAGTTCAACTCACAGCCTCGGAACTGAATTCAGAGCAGGCGAAAACATGGCAAGTGCTTCCTCACTGACTGACTTTCTGGACTGTGCCCAGGTTATATTTGCAGGGCACGTTGCAGGGTGGCAAGGCTTGGGTGGGGCCTGGGAAACCGATGCATTGTTATTGTTCTCTGTTATCATGGCTGTCATACTTCAAAGTTTGGAGTTAGAAAGATGGTCATCGATGTATAGAATAAGCCAAAGCTGTACATCATTTTGAGTGTGCTCACATCTTTTAAGAACATGCTCAGAAGAGAGTGAAGCACTTAGGCTGACATCAAGATTTTGTGAAAATTTTCAAATTTTTATTTCTCATAAGAGCTCTTTAACCATCAAGTTTCATTGGGTCATGATAATGTAGAAGTCACTTTATTAAACATATAAAAGGATTACCTGCAACTTTTCTGATGTTGTGATGTATACTAGTCACGGGATTTGTGGAGAGGCTGCCCTCTGATCTTCTGAGCCCATGATGACCACACCACACACCCGTGGGGGCACAGAGAGTGTGGCAGCAGATTGCTTCTCCTGATTTGCCTTCTTCTCACCATTTTCTGACGCTCAGAACACCTGCAACACCTTGGTCCTGGAGGACCATGTTGATCTTGCTCAAAGGTTGAGAGTTGCACTAGGCTACAGAATCACTGGGGGACCAAAATTGTCATCCCCAGCCCTGCCCCTATACCAGTGAATTTTGAGCCCTGGGATTGGAGCCTGAAGCCTGGCATGTTTGATGATCTCCTTGGAGATCTTGTATGCCTGGAATGAGAACCAATGAGGTTCAGCATTAAAACAGCTTCCTGGTAGAATCTCTGTGCCAGTTGTCTTGGGTTCCTCTAATTTAGCATTTGCCCTGGATATTTCAGTAGTAACTAGATATTTATTATTGAATTTTGGGCATTAGAATATACCAGGAGGAGTTTGGTTGAATTTTACGTCCTCTGCCAAGGATTCACCTGTCAAGATGTGAATGAAATACATGTGCAAAGGGGAAATATTTGAAAGAATCTTAAGTAAAGGTAACAGTGGATAAATCATGTTTTATAAAAATGTGTATTGAGGGGCGGAGGATTTAGCTCAGAGGCATACCCATCTTCCTCGCAAGTGTGCGGTCATGAGTTTGATCCCTGGTACCAGTAAAAACAAAAAAGACAAAAAAAAGTGTGTATTGAAGAGTGATACCACAAAAGGAGGAAAAAGGAGAGCACCTGTGTCAAAAACTGGAACAAAATATTTACATAAAAATAGAATTGAAATACCACTTTTTGAGCAGACTTTGCACTGAGCCTACAGAGGGAATGTTGTCAGTTAAAAATATTGTGATCTCTAGGAAAGGATGGATAAAAGATGTCTGCCATTTCAGATTTGTTCATCATAAAATTTATTTTCAAGACAATTGCAGGCATTTTTCCTTCAAAATGTCAAAATATGAAAACAAGTTTTTGAAACGGAAATTCTTCAGAAAGATACCAGTGGCACCGTATTAGTAGCAGACTCGGCTAAGAAACAAATTGAAAAACTTAAGCACTAAGAAAAGTTATTCTACTGTTTGACTATGACAATAATTCACTCAAAGGAGTTTTCAGCATTGCTTCAATTATACATATATACTACTTGATTTTTTGATTATAATTAGGAAAATGGTTTTTAACATAATTTCCGTCCCCTCACAGTCTCCACAGTGGGTTGGTTCCAGAGATCTTCTGTGGGTGCCCAAACCATCAGATGTTCAAATTACTTGTATTAAGTGGTCACGTTCACAATAGCTTATGACATCCAATGTAAATGTAAGTAGATGTTTTACACATTGTTTAAGGAGTGATGAGAAGAAAAAAAAGTCTTTCAGATGTTCAGTGCAGACATTTTTTTAAAAAATAGTTTTGATCTGAGGTTGGTTGAATTGAAGAATGTGGGAGTATTTTATAAGGGCCTTAATATAAAAACCAACTTATTATTGTTAAGCACAGTTTTCTAAAAATAATGTAATTTTAAATATTCTGGTGTCCTCTTTCATTCACAAAACCATCCCAGCATGGAATAGAAATGATTTGGTTACCAGCAGGGCCACAGTTCACAGGTGGCTGACAAATATTTGTATGTATGTTGAACACAGGAAGATACCCAGGCAGTGAGGGGTGATGGAGCGCAGAGCCTCTGGAGCCTTCAGCGTCATCTGTGTGGATGTTCAAATTACCAGACACAGGAGTCAGGATGGAGAGAAGCTCAGTGGGCCAAGCTCTGATAATCTTTGGCAAAGGAGAGAAAGTGACTGGGAGGTGGCCGTCTCCAAGGGAGCTAGAGGAAGGAGGAAAGGGTTAGCTTGGAAGGATGATAGGGACACAGAGCAGAGCTCTCCCCACTCCAGACGGGAGATCCACGGCTGAGAGAGAACAGGGAGCCTCCACTTAGAAGGATGTGAGAGACGAAGTGGAAAAGTGGGCTGAGAAGGCGAGGGGACAGACACTGCTGGGAGCTGGCTGACGACAGAGATGCACCCTGTGTCCCAGCTGGAAGGCTGGGTTCTGGAGCGGGGCTGCAAGGAATGAGAGTTTGCACAGAGCAGGTTCTGAAGATGATGGATGACATGGGAGGCTTGGCCACAATGCATCTCGAGTGACCCAAACTGTGCTCAGCACAGCTGAGGCAAGATGACAATCTCCAACTTCAAAGCAGTCCCTTAGAGACAGTCTAAGGGACCGAGGCCTCAGACTGCAAGAGAGGAAAGCCAGGCCAGATGCTTGTGCATATGGGGAGGCACAGAACTGGATTTGACAATTCCTTGGTTCATTTGACCTCCTTTGGTTGGAGTCAGAACACCAACCCCATCCCCATCCCCACTTCGCCTGGATCTGCAACTTGCACACTCCTGAGCACTGGTCAATCTCCTAAGACAATTCTATCTTTCCTTCAGTGCTCTCAAATTTCTTCTGTCCTCCATCTCTTCAAAGTCAGCACAAATGGGCAAAGAACCTTAAGCCATCCTCTCTGGTTGCTCGCGATATATAAACCCCACTGAGTTTATATTCCTACTTCTTGGAAGTAGGAAATTAAGGCCCTTTGGCAGAAGTTTCTTCTCTAAGGCTCAATGTTTTGCAACAAGGTTCTGTTGAAAATTTCTGGCCAAACTAGCAAGATTCAGATATTTCCTATTTCTCTGGGCCATTTAAATAACCACTTTGAAAATAACAAAAATCTTCATAAAATAACTTTCCAAAGCTGTCTCAAGAGGCCAGCATGGCTTTATAGAAAAAATAGTATTTCTGTGTCCAAGGATTTTTCAGCCTAAAGGAGAAGTTTCCAAACAATAGTATTTTTTCCAGTCAAAATCCTAAGAGGAAATCTCCCCTTAGATTACAATATATAAATAAATGTATAAATAAAGTACGAAATATGTTTGAAAGCATAAATTCAATTGGTTTAGAAAAAGACATTTATTCAACTAATGCCTTGGAGGGATTCACAGTCCAGTGGGAAACCACAAACAAATGAAAAATTGAAATCACATAATTACTATCATGGGAATATGCACAAAGGGCAGGACAGGCAAAGGCAGAAATCTCCAGTGAAATGAAATTGCAGTTATGCCTAATAGTGATAGTTGTCATAACTGGACACTGCCCTAAGGCTGCACATATATTAACTCACTAACCCCTACGATTTTCTAAGAGACACTCTTCATGTTTTCATTTGACAGATCATGCCTCTGAAGCACAAAGATCAGGTAACTCACCCCAGATCACAGAGTTGGTAGAAGATAGATCTGAAAATTAAGCCCAAGCACTCATCTCCAGAATCTGTATGCTTAACTAGCTTGCTGCTTATAAGAGTGGTACACAAAATAATCCAAGTGGCTGCCTGGGGAGTTCTCTTATAAACTGGACTATTTAAAATATGCATACAACTCCACAGGGTGTACTCCTAGAGTAAATACGCAATGTAAACAAAGTCCATGAAGTGTCCAAGGTCAATTCCACTTTCCCCATCATGCACCATGATTATCTGGGCAGGATTACTTCAGTTTAAGGTGAACAGTTTTAATCTGTAGTCTCTGTAGACTCCTGAACACAATGGACTCCACGTCTCTTTGATAATTCCCAGGCATCCTCCAAGCCTCACTCCCAGTGCTGTCTCCTCTTTAGAGCCCTGTCTTGACTTGCTCAGATAGACTTCTGTTCTCTGCTGACAGAATCCTGACCCACTTATTTCCCAGTAGTTTCCATGGTCTCTTCTCATTAAGGAGCATAACCCACACTCAGGCAAAGAATCCAGAGGGTGAAAACTTTAAATTTAAGTCAGCCAACAATGGCAACTGATACTGGTATCCCAAATACAATGGTATCGATAGAATGGGAGGCAAAGATGTGATAGCAAGAGAAAGAAAGGATCTAATTCCGTCCTGACTGCTCCACCTTCTCCGCTGTCCTTCTCAGGTTCCTTACTGTATGGGCTATGAGCAGTTTTTCTGGAATCTTCTTTGGGTACCTATCCATTGTGTGACTCTGTTCCCCAACTTCTACTTTTCCTGCAAAGTGAACTGCCTTTAGACTTTCCTACGTTTTCTTTGACAGACATTTTAAGTGCCTATGATGTGTCAGGCATTGGGACAGGCCCTCGGCATAAAGATGAGAGAGACTTGGTCCCTGTCCAAGGAGCAGGAGAAAGACACAAACACAGAAATAAAATCCCCTGAGTTATAGATGACAGGAAGGGCTTCCTGGGCTGGGTGCTCTAGGAAGAGCCCCCTTTAGCTAGGTGAAGGGAAATGGAAAGTGTTCCCAGTGGAGGGAATGACAGGCGCAAGCTGTGTGGAGCACACCAGACTGTCAGCACAAACCTAAGGCCAGGGCCTTAGGAATGAGGCTGGAAACCTTGGCAGAGGCAAGACCAGGGGAAGCTGTATCAGTTAAAGTTCTCTTGGTTTCAAGTAACAGAAACTCATCTTGTAGAGGTTCAAGTAAAGAGGGCATTTTTGGAAGGAAACTGGAGTAATTCCAAAGTCATGGAGACAGCAGAGTGTCAGAAACAGCACGAAGAGCAGAAGTAGGACAGGAAATCAGGTGACCCTCTCAACCTCCTCTTCATCTGCAAGTTAGTGAATAGCTCTGGAGAGAGAACAGAGTGAAACTTTTCAAGGACCAACCCCATCATTCAGCCCCTTTAACACAGCCACCCAGCAGTCCAAGCTGATGAAGTAAGTGCACATCCTTCTGTCTGGTCACCTACAATTAATAAGCTTTTGAATTTCCTTGAAGCATCAAGTTGGGTTTAAGGCCAGTTAGTGCATGTCTACAAGTCCCAAGTTTGGAAAGCCAAGCAGAGACTGCAGGGTAGTCTGCTAAACCTGCAGTCCTCCTTCGTTTTGTTTGGAAGCCAGTGATTGCCTCTCTAA